ACCTCTGTAGATGTGAAAAAAATACAGGTCACACTGGTCCAATCTGGGAGGAAATGTTAAAGATTCCAAAGAAACTGCAATTATAAAGGTTTTTTTCCTTTTTAAATCACCACTGTAACCAAGTTGTCATCTAGGCTTAATACAAAACCAAACAAAATAACCATGCATTTTTTTAACCACATTAATAAATTGGTAGAGAGGCCCCATCTAAACCTAAAATTCAGGATTAATGTTAGTTCAAACTAACTAGCAAAACTATAGGGCAGGGGGCACTGCAGGCTGCCATGAAAAGGAGGGCTGGCATAAAGAAGAGGGAAAGCACCTTTTCTCTCTTGCTACAGAGATGAGGACATGGACTAATGGCTTGAAGTTGCAGCAAAGTAAATTTAGACTGAGGATCTGGAAAAACTTCATCACTGTTAGAATAGAGAAGCAATGGAATAGACTGCCTAGTGAAGTTGTGGACTCTCCATTACTGGAGATGTTCAGAAGTGGTTGGACAGCCACTGGTCATGGATGATGTAGGCATATATATGCCTATTTTCTACTATGGGTATTTTCTTACTCCCCACTCAGGATCAGACCGACTGCCATGTTTAGGGTCAGGAAGGAATTTTACCCCATGATCAGATTGGTACAGACTATAGGGCTTTTTGCCTTCCTCTGTACCGGAGTGTGGCCCTCTGCCTGGGACCTCTTAAGCATATACTGACAACATTTTATAGAAGCAGCACAGTGGCTCCCATAGTTTCCCTGCTTTACCAGTGGTAAGTTAGGATGTCAGGTCTATATTGTGTCAGGGTTGAGTGTAGTCTTATGTAGACTTTAGACTGTGGTTGTATGGGATGGTTTGGATAGGGATGATACTGCTTCATGCAGCGGGTTGGACTAGATGTCCTCTGGAGGTCCTTTCCATCCCTACTTCTCTATGTTCTTCTTAGGCTAAAATGTGATCAAACTATTCTTCATGAAAATACTGATTCTCCTCTATATACACAGTGAAATTCTTGTGATGGCACTGATTTGGAAAATGAGATGTATATATCTGGATGTCAGCAACATATAATTGGTTTTAGAGCTTATGCTCTATCACTTTTTTCCCAAATGATATATATAGCTGACGCTAACAGTCACTGATCACGCTTTCATGATTTGGGGTGGAATAGCATACCAACAAAAAAACTTTAAAAATATCTTTACATTTACTTTCAAACATGATTCTTAATGAATATTATAATCCAGTAATAACTCCTTGGATCCACTGCAATTTTTAGCATGCAGGCATTTTTCTGCAAGGAACAGGTTCATGGCTGCAAGATAATTAACAGTATAGCCTTCTACTGTACCACAAGTATAACTCCCTCCACCCTCTACCCCTGCCCAATCCTTAAGCTCCACTGGCATTATAAAGTTGTATTTCTGACCACAAGATGCAAAAGAGATGCACATAATTGTGTCTTCACCTATCTTTACACAGAGCACACTTTCGAAAAGCATACATTGTCCCCAGTCCTCAAGGTTGAGACACACTCTGCCAGATTCCCTTCCTGAACATGCTTTTATTAACTCATTATTAAGTTAATTTTTTAATAGTTTTTAGTTATTAAGAGGAATTTCCAAAGCATTTCCTTCTATTATCATATTATTCAGGAACATGCATGAATCAACACTTCATTTGCCATTTGGAATGGTCATTAACATGACGTTAATTTCATCCAATCTGGATGAAGAAAAGGCTTAGGAGTTTTATGTTGTACCCATTGTATCAGTGCATTTTTCCCCCCAAAGATACTGACATATTCAGAGATAATCTCTACTCATAAACATAAAATGCAAAAATGGTATTTTCCTATCTGATTAAATGTAATGCAGGGAGGGGTTAATGTAGCCCCATTACATTGGACCCTTAGTATTTAATTAAGCATATAGACAGTTCATTTATGTTCTTCATTCTTACTGGAAGATAATTTTACCATATATACAGAACATGAACCCAGAGTGAACATTGTACATTTTCATTTAAGGTGAACATCATATATGCTTTAGTAACATTTAAATAACAGCTGAGCCCCAGAAAATTAATTCTGGTTTGTATTCACCTAAAGGACAACAATATTCCTCATAATAAATGTGGTTTTTTTACTTGGCAACATTTAGTATTTTAATATTTTTGAAAATATAGCAATACAATCACTTTATAAACATCTGTTGATTTACTTAGCTTTTTCACTAACATCAATTTAATGGAATTAAAATCACTTCTGTTATTTCTTGCTATGGTCCACAGAATAATCAAATTTGAAGTCATAACATCAAAAAAAAGATTTAAAAAAGGTAAGCATGCATTAGGAAAGCAAATGAATTGTTTTTCAGAACAGATGAATAAGACAGAATGTTCATCTAGACATTTCTACACACGCCAATTTGAATGAAATCAAACAATGAATAATTGCCTGAGGTAAGTGTGTCCCTGGAAACATTTTTACACAAAACAGAAAAATATGAAAGTAACTTTGACACCCCCAACCAATATGACTGTGCGAAGCTTCGGTCCCCAATTCGATTTGGCCTGATTTGGTGGCCATATCTCCGAATCGAATCAGAGGACCCTTTAATCTCTCTGAATCAAATCGGAACCCTATGAATCGATTCGGAAAGATACTGACATAGAGACAGCTTTAAATGTTTTTTCTGCATACCTCTAGGTAGCAGGGGCTTGTGAGTGTTGCGATGCTGGGGCGCATGGAGTGTCCCACAGAAGCATGGGTGTGCTCACAAAAACGTGGGGGGGGGGGGGGGGGGCTCCCCAGCGCACTTGACAGCAGACCCAGAAAAGGACCAGAAGCACTTCTGGTCCACGTCCAGGTCTGTGGGGGAGTGTGCTGGGGGGGCCCCCTGCGGCCAATCGCCGAGCTGGGGAGGCACAGGGTGGAAGGGGCCAGCACGCTCCCCGGCAGACCCAGAAGTGGACCAGAAGTACTTCCAGTACACTTCCAGGTTCGCCCCCAAGCATGTGGAGGCCCCCCCGCACTCCTGTGGGACGCTTCATGCGCCTCAGCATGGCAGTGATCACGAGCTGCGCCTGCTACATCAAGGTATATAGAAAAAACTTGTAAAGTTGTGTCTATGTCCGAATCGCTGATTCTCCAAATCTTCAGATTCAGATTCGGCCGAATCAAATCGGGGACAGTAATCCAAATCAACAAATCGAATCACTGTCCTTAATTCGGGCCGAATCCGAATCGAATAGGACCCGCTTCGCACACCCCTACAAACCAATACTTCAAAAACAAGAATGATTTTGATAAATAGCTGCAACATCATAACACATTACACCTCATGATTTCAGTCTTATTGGTCATTAGTGTTTTCTATAGCTATATTATCCTCCACACTTCTCTAGCCTTCCCCTTTCCTCACTGTTTCCAAGTATATGAAAATGGCACTTTTGAAACTTATCTTACTTGCTACTACTATTTTATTTTTTAAGTAATGCTTATACTTTATTTACATTCTATTTTACATTTAGCTTATTCATCTCTCAAACAACTATGCTTTTTCCTTTATTTCCCCTGCAAAAACAAAATAACTTTTAGACATGGATGATGCTCTTTCAGATGCAATCATTTCATTTCCTCTCTGCTGATAATGTCTCAATAGTAAAAGTGGTAGTACTTATCCTCCGATACAGTCACGTCTGACATCGTGCAGTACTGCTACCCACATTCTGTTCTCCTTCATGTTCACAGACAGGTGAGGAAAATCACATACATTTTCATATCAAATATCCCGCTTCACCCCAATGGCTTACAGAATCAACATATCTGGACTTATCTAAATTTTAATTTTAACTCTACAGTTTACTATTACATAAAGGTTAAACTATTCAGTATATTATTAGCAGTAGTTTAATTGTTTGATTTCTATGCCACCCCCTCCCAAAAAGGTTCAGGGCAGCTTATAATAACTAAGTCATAAAAATAGGAAAGCTCAAGCCTGCCAGTTAAAAGTCTTCCCAAATAAAAAGGTCTTCCACTGTTTCCAAAAGATGGCCAGGCTGGACGGAGCTTGATTCCACTTCTACAACAATGAGAATTAAAAGTTACTCTACTATCAAGGTCAGTGAACCAAAACAAGTATTAAATGAGATTAGATTCAGACTCTTTATTTGAATGTTCCTTTGTTTAGATTTATTTTCAAGTGTTTTTTAGAAAAAAGTTAATGCAGTAGCTTCAGCTAAGACACTGCACTGTGATGTAAGTAGTCTTTAATCAATTTAGAAAGTTACCATATTTATTTGAATAGATTACCCTGTTTATAAGACAACCCTCCCAATAATTAGATTCTATATATGCAAAATTTATAAATGTTATAGTTTTCCAGGTGTAGAATCTAATTATTGGAGATCTGCCTTTAATTTGTCCCCTTCCCACTGATACAGTAGAGAAAATAAATCTAGGGGGTGAAAAAGTCGCTTTGCTCTGTGCTTCCCTGAAACTTTTTCCCCTGACAGCCCCTTCCCCCTCTCCTTACTGTCAGACCCTGCTCCTCACTTCTATGTGCTTGGGGAGAGCAAATTTGAAAATAATAACCTGGATATTAAACAAAGCTATAGCAATTTGCATGTGCTACCCATACACTTAATTCACCTAGAATTGATGCATGTTACCTTTTTTTGAAACTGCTTCAGGTTTTAGTACAGCTACCCCATTAACATGCTCTTGTGCAGCACTTTGATATCTACTTATGTATAGTACAACCTACTTTTGCTTAAAGCCAAATTAATTCTGAGTTCCAAAATCGACTGAGCGAAGCTAAATTATTCAAGTCTGTGTGGTATTACTCCCAGGCAAATCCCCTCCAATCCAGACCCATCAGTCTGGGACTTCAGATACTACCCAAATCCATGGCAGGCTTCCTGCATGTAGGACCCAAGCCCAAAGGCGTTCAGATGACTCCTAGTCATGCCTGCTCCTACCCAAAATCCAAATGAACAAGGCAGGGGGAAAGCGCAGACAGTCCCCCTTTACCACCAAATTGTGCAGTCAAGTTATCTACATTTGGGAAACTCACAGGGGTCAGCCTGCCCAGAGTGCAATGGATGCACCTCATCCTGGGAAAACTTGTTGATCATGGTAGTTCCCCTGCCAGATATGTATAAACTATTCATGATATTAGTCCAAAGCCAAAGACTCATGATTTGCCATATAGTTATTTGGGCTGGGCCCCACCGGATGCAGATGAGGCACAGGGCAACCTGGTCTGGCTCCCCCTCATGGAGGGTGGGGCCACACTAGTCATACACACCAGGCTGAGTGTGGAGGCAACAGAAGAAGGGTTCTGGCTGAACTGTTTGGGGCTATATTTGGTGATGCTTGCCAGACATTTAAGGCTGGTGAAGAAACAGGAATCATTGGAAATAGAAAGAAAGATGCAGCTCAGCTGTGGGAATGAAGAGGAAGTCTAAATGTATTCAGTGTGGTGGCTCACCATGACTTGGAAAAGAGTCAGTGGTGAAAGGGATTGTGCTTAATGGGCATTACCATGCATCTTATTCAGATGGGCAGTACTAACCTGTAAGTGTGGTAGGTTCCCATCAGCATGGTTGCCCAATGTGAACCATGCATTTTACAGGCATGTAAAACATGCTGAAAAAAAAAGTTTTACAGTCACACTCAATGATGGCTGCATTTAATCAACTTCACAGTTGGTTTCCATTACTGAGCACATGCTGTTTTGTCAGCAATTTAATGACAGACTATGTATTTAGTGATATGTCCTTATATGCAATTATATGACAAGATGCTTTTGCCCCCATGCCAGTTGGGGGAAAAATCTTGTATTCAAGTAAATACGGTACACTGCCATGAACCCTATTACCTTCTGGGAGAAATGCATGTTGTAATGCATGATTTCTTGAGTCTGTTTTCCTGATACGGCAAAAGTAGTCTCTATATGAGGTAACACCATGCTGTATTTAGCCTTATCATTGTTTCTGCATTATATTTGATATCAATGCAATTTTGATATATCTTTATACAGTAAAATCTCTGTTATCCGGCATGAGTGGGGAATGTTGGGTGCTGGTGATGTAAAAATGACAGTTATCTAAAAATACCAGAGCTGGAAGGGGGGGCTTGCACATGGCGAGGTGGTGAGTGGCAGCGGTAATGTGGGGTGGTGGGTGGTGGTGGCGCAGTGGCAGCGTTGGGTGGTTGCACACGGCGGCATTTCAGAATGGTGGATAGCGGTGGTGTGGCCGCATGGTGGCAGTCAATAGAGTATGCTGGCTAGCAGAATGCCAGAAAACAGGGTTTTTACTGTATTTTAGCCAAGACTGTTTATTGGGGCAGCAATTAACTTAAATGTTCCTCTCCTATACACACTTGGAAGAGGTTATCGCTGACAAATTTCTTGACTTATTACCCTTATGGACATACTCTGCGGCACATGAACCTGGCCCTCCTACACATTGACGAATTCACTTTTTAAATAAATAAATAAATAAATAAGAGAGGACCCCCTGACACCTAACTGTTGCGGGGCGGGGGGGGGGGGGGGGGGGGGAAAATATTT